CAGGGCCACCGCGCAGGGAGCAGAAGGCGCGGGTTGGGGTCTGTCTCGTGGGGGGTCGCGCTGAAGGCGCTGTTCTGCGCCCCCGTTTCAGGCCGAGGATGCGTTCGACTCGGAGCCGAAGATCAAAAAGCTGGAGCCGGTCCTGCTGCCGGGTGAGCGTCGGGGGTCAGGGGTCCCGGCAGGTCCTGGGGGGGTCCCCTGGGGGCGCTCTCCTCCTGTTTTCACTTTTTAAACTTGATCCTGTCTCGTGGGGGGTCGCGCTGAAGGCGCTGTTCTGCGCCCCCGTTTCAGGCCGAGGATGCGTTCGACTCGGAGCCGAAGATCAAAAAGCTGGAGCCGGTCCTGCTGCCGGGTGAGCGTCGGGGGTCAGGGGTCCCGGCAGGTCCTGGGGGGGTCCCCTGGGGGCGCTCTCCTCCTGTTTTCACTTTTTAAACTTGATCGGGTTAAACAGAATAAAGAATCTGACCACCGTGGGGGGCGCGGGAGAAAGAAGTTTCCCGTGGAACCGAGCATCACCCTCCGGAAGGGGTGCGTCTACTGGGGTTCGTCCTGGGGAAACGGAGGCCTCGCAGAAAGTGGCCCAGGGTGTCACCCCGCTTTTCCGTGTCTCCTGAAATGCCCCCCCCTTTTTTTCTTTTCCTTTTCCTCTTCCTTTTTCTTTTCTTTTTTCTTTTTTTGGTTAATCCTCACCCCTGGGTATTTTTTCCTTTGATTTTTATTTTTTATTTTTCTAAAATATATTTTTATTGATTTTTTACAGAGAGGAAGGGAGAGGGATAGAGAGTTAGAAACATCGATGAGAGAGAAACATCGATCAGCTGCCTCCTGCACACTCCCTACTGGGGATGTGCCTGCAACCAAGGTACATGCCCTTGACCGGAATCGAACCTGGGACCCTTCAGTCTGCAGGCCGACGCTCTATCCACGGAGCCAAACCTGCCAGGGCCCATTGATTTATTTTATTTTTATTTATTTATATTTTATGTGTGTTTTTTATTGATTTCAGAGAGGAAGGGAGAGGGAGAGAGAGAGAGAGAGACACATCCATGATGAGAGAGAATCGTGGATCAGCTGCCTCCTGCACGCCCCACACTGGGGATCGAGCCTGCAACCCGGGCCTGTGCCCTGACTGGGAATCCCACCCGGGACCCTTCAGTCCACAGGCCAACGCTCTATCCACTGAGCCACACCGGCCAGGGCCCACTGATATTTTTTTAGAGCAAATGCAAGGGAGGGGGAGAGAAAGAGAGAGAGAGAAACATCCCTGGGTTGCCTCCCAAATTCACCCCGACAGGGGCCGGGGGTGGAACCTGCCACCCAGGCACCTGCCCTTGACCGGGAACCGAACCCGAGACCCTTCCGGTCCTCGGGCCGGCGCTCTAACCACTGAGCTCACCGGCCGGGGCTGAACCCGCTCTTTTTCCCCAGCAGCTTCTGGGGACCGAGGCAGTGGAGTACTCTTTGCCCTGCCTGTCCGTCTGGCCGTCGCTGTAACAGCGTGAAAAGCCGCTTTTATTGCGCCCGGGTCTCTGTCAACCAGCAACACAGCTTAGACCTTTGAATTCCTGACTTGGCGATTGTTGCTTTTTGTCCCCGTCTCCCCGCCCCCAGGTGTCAGCTGTGTCTGCAGATGCAGGCGTTTTATCTAGAAAGGCCAGGGCCTTCCCCGCAGAGGCCCCTCCACGCTCTGGGGCCGTCGCCTTGTGCGAGGGGCTGTTCTGTGCTCTGCAGGGTGCTTATCCACATCCCTGGCCTCCACCCCCTGGGGGCCCCTCTTCCACTGCCTCATTGACACAACCAGCGAGTCTCCAGCGTCCCCCAAACTGCCCCCCCACCCCCACCCCCGGGGCAACATGTCCTTCCCGTGGAGACTCAGGGGCTAGAACAGAAGTTACTTTCGAGGCCCCTTGTCAGGCTTCGCTTCCCCCTTCAGGGTTAGGGTTTGACCCAGTACGTAGCGTGGTCCAGGCTGCAGATGCAGGGCTGGGTTCTTAAAGCTTTGCGTTTGCACCTAAGACGTGCTCATGGGAGTGTTAGCATCAGTGAGCTGGAAGGACTTTTCCTCGGGGGCCGTCTGTTCTGTAGAATTAACCTGAAAACTCCCCTTTCTGCCTGAAGTCACCGTTCTCGGGGAAGACGCGAGCTCACCTCCTCGCTGTGCGCGGTTTACCGTCCTGGGGTCACAGCAGAGCCTGGGCCTCCCGACCCGGGCTAACTTTTTGCAGTGGCTCTGACTTGCAGGCGCGGTGGCTCTGGCCCCGGCGTTCTGCGTGCACTCAGCCTCGCCCTCCCCGAACTCCAGCCAGCCCTAAATTAGCGTGTCTGCCGCCTGCCTTCTCGTCTCTCCTTCCCACACGCTTCCCGGCTTCTTTCCGTGTGGCCACCCTGTTGTGGTCTCTGCTTCCTGCCTCTCCTGTCAGTCCCCTCTCCGACCCCCCCTGCCACCTCGCCGCCCCTCCTCTGCCCTGCAGCCTCCCCGTGAGTCTAGGGGATGAGCGAAGGGGGTGAATCAGTCAGGAACCACGGGGAGCCTGGCGGTCACCTGTGGCTCCTATGCACCCGGGACAAGGAGCCATTGTTCCCGGCCGTCCTGCATGCTCTGCTTTGGCCCGGCGCCTGGGGTTCGGGGATATCCTACCCCCGTCGCCCAGAGCGTGAACTCGTAACCCAATAGGCAGATGAAAATCACAATACAAAATCGTTGTTTGTGTACGGGGACCACGTGCTCCGTTGGAACGTAAGCCTGAATTTAAAACGAGGCTCATTTTACGAAGCAGAGAGAGAGAGAAAAAAGAACCTGACAAATAATGGAGTTTAGACGGTGGTGTGTGCTCGCATGTCCAGCTGGCCTGGTTCATGAAGCTGCTGAGGCGGAAGCTGTGCCTACGTCACCTTTGCGGCCCGAGGCCTACCCTGGTCTGCACGGGGATGTGGGTGGGTGGGACCGGGTGGGACTGGGAGCTGCGGGTGCAGGACACAGCCCTCCGCCCCATCTGGAGGCCGCGTGGAGTTGGCGCCGGGCCAGGCGCCCTGTCTGGCCGCAGGCTCACTGTTCTGCGGTTACCGAACCCGTGGTCCTTGCTTCAGGCCGAGGAGCTAGAGCTGGAGGAGACAGGGTCCTGCCCTGGGCAGTTTGTTCACTGGGAAAGGCTCCCCTGGAGGACGCAGAGGAAGGTCACCTGAGCCAGGTTTGGGGCGGGGAGGCCGTCGCGGAAAGGGCTCCCGCTCTGCGCCTGAGTGCCTGCCAGGCTCGCCCGTGCTCAGGCTGCGTGTCGGTTCCGCTCTGTCTCTTCCCCCCTGCGGGGCCAGCGGCATTTTCACGATGAGTCACGAGTCTGTTGATAGCGAACGAGTCGGTTGATAGTGAACGCACTGATTGTCAGAGGCGTCTGTAATCAGATCGGGAGCCCTCGGCGTGGGCCGTCTGGAACATGAAACCAGCCCTCGTTGGGTGGCTGTCGTGTGCATCTCTGCATATTCGTGGCGCGCTCGGCCGCGTGTGCCCTGTTCTGTGTCACGCCTCACTGTGAGCTGCTTCCCCAGTTGGGCCGCGCATCCCTTAGGCAAAGCCTCTCGCTCGGATGCCTTGTGTTGTTTCATACCTGCTTGAGGTTGGCTCTTAGAGGTGACGGCAGGCTGGTTCTGCCGCACTTTGGCTCATGGACACGTCGCTTTAGAAAGAGCAGAGCACGCGGGCCGTGAGCAGTGCAGCCCCTGCAGCGTCTTAGCATCAGGCTCTGCCCACCCAAACCGTGAGCGTGTGGCTCGCCACCTACCTGGGCTGCTGCCTCGGGGCTCGGCCAGCGTTGGGCTCCTCACTTCCTCACCCCACCCTCGTCTCTGTACCTAGCAGCTCCTGCTCAGAAACTGTTGGTGAAGCTCCATCAGTAAACTCCGCGTCAACAGGACCAGCTCTTTCACCTCCTTGATTTGCTAACGCTCCACCTGCCGCCCTCTGCACTGCCTCTCCGTACAGGAGTCCCCCCTCATCTGCGCTTTGCTGTCCGCAGTGTCAGCCACCCGTGCTCAGCCACAGTCTGGAAATACTGCAGGGAACATTCCAGAAATAAACACACCATTCCTGAGTTTTAAGTTGTGCACCAGGCTGAATAGCGTGGTGAAATCTCGCAGTCCGGCTGCTCCGGGGACATGAATCAACCTTTTGTCCAGCGTCCGATGCTGTCTGTGATGTGTCACTTAGAGAGGGTGGTGTGGGACTGTAATTGGGATCTTCGTGGCGCGCTAGGTGCTCGGGGCTGGTCAGCAGACGGGTTCTGTCTGTTTCTGTTAAAGGTTTGTGTCCACAGTAACAGACCGAGTGGATCCGCACCCTGATTCTTGCTTAAAAATGGCTCTGGGTCTGGTGGAGTCTTAGACCTTGAAGTGTAGAATTAATGGTAACCAGGCTTTAAATAAGTTATGGAAAAGTATTCTTTTGAAAGCACGTTTTCCCTTTTATTTTGGTTTGTTGCTTTCCTTTAATCTTCCCTTTTAACTCTAAAATGATATTGTAGAGCTTTACCACCAACAGAGGGATCATTTGAGCGCGTAGGGAAACTCGACTTGGATTTATGGGGGATTCGTAAAATACATAGATCGCAGTGTTACTAAAGAGGTTAAAGCTGAACTCTTTATCGTTTCTTTAAAAATAAATAAAGACATCGGTTTGGGAGATGTTAATGGAATACAGATACTCCGTCAGATGACACGGTGAAGGAGCGGGGGTTGCCTTCCTCTCAGTTGGGGGGCAGAGTGCAGGCGGGGTCCTCCGTGCCGGTCTCCCAAGTGGAGCGCCAGCCTCGCCGACACTGACCGCTGTGAGGGTGCAGGTGCTCGCGGTTCTGACTGTCGTCACCCGGGCACAGTCCCTCCAGGTCACACGGCGCCTGGTGACCCGTTGGAGTGGAGAGGTGGCGCACACCATGACGGTTCTCTTTTCCTAAAGGAGAAATTGTTGTGAATGAAGTCAGTTTTGTGAGGAAATGCATCGCCACGGACACGAGTCAGTACGACCTGTGGGGAAAGCTGATATGCAGCAACTTCAAAATTTCCTTCATTACGGACGACCCAATGCCATTGCAGGTAGGTGCTGTTGTGGCGAGGCCTTTGACCCTAAAAGTGAGACACGGCTGATGCTACCAGTGCGAGGTTAACGGGAAAAGAGTTAACGTGACATAACTTTTTATTTCAGAAATTCCATTACAGAAACCTTCTTCTTGGTGAACATGATGTCCCTTTAACGTGTATTGAGCAAATCGTCACAGGTGTGTATTATTTTTTTACATGTACACTAGTGGCCCGGTGCACAGATTCATGCCCATTGGAAGGAAATTAAGTAGAAGAAATCGGGCTCCCTCCTCCCTGGTTCCGGGGCGTGTGACCCGAGAACCGCCGCTCCCAAGTCACCGCAGCTCGGCAGCTCCTGCGTTGAGCGTCTGCTCCCTGGTGGTCAGTGTGCGTTATATGTACAGGACAGTCAGACGGTCACTTAGCCTTTTATATATGTAGATATATATGTATATATTTATTGATTTCAGAGCAAAAGGGAGAGGGAGATAGAAACATCAATGGTGAGAGAGAATCATGGATCAGCTGCCTCCTGCACGCCCCACACTGGGGATGGAGCCCACAACCCAGGCATGTGCCCTGACCGGGGACCAAACCACTGAGCACACTGGCTGGGCCATATTATTCTTTACTTAGTCCCTAAAGCTGATTCTACCCTGGAAGAATTGCTTGAAGATACTCAGATACTTGGGTTGGAAGTTTATTGGAAGGTTATTTCTGTAGGTTTTTCTTCCTTTCTTTTTTTTGAGTCCCAGGAACATTCATGAAAGACAGAGGTAAAAAAAATTAAAGTAGAGCTATAAATTGAATCGCTTTTTACATTTTCTAGTATTTGTCCTCTTTTAAATTAAAATTGTAATCATAAAATGTATCTGGATGGTGGTGGTTGGTGTGCCAACAATCATTTGAAATACCTTCAAAAGCAAAGTCAAAATCGATCCCCCAAATAAGTACCGTGAGGGCCCAGGGAGGCGGGGCGCAGGGCGCGTGTCCTCCCCGTTGGCGTCGCCCAGCACTCGTTAGGGCGCTGCAGGGAGAGTCACCGGGACTAGTTCTCTCACCCTAACCTTCTTCTCGCTCAGTCAACGACCACAAGAGGAAGCAGAAGGTCCTGGGCCCCAACCAGAAGCTGAAGTTCAATCCGACCGAGTTAATCATTTACTGTAAAGACTTCAGGATCGTCCGATTCCGCTTTGATGAATCCGGCCCTGAAAGTGCCAAAAAGGTACCGGCTTGTTTTGTTTTGGCTCAGCTGTGTTGGGTCCTGGGCTGTGCAACGTACGGATCCATTTCGGTTCTCGGTGGAACTTTTCACTTCTCAATTGCCCAGGTTTTTATTTTTAGGGGAATTTATCAGATGTCTTCCTAAGTAAATTCAAAGCCAACAGTGTTAATAGAACTATTTCCTTGGACTCTTTAGCTGCTTTAAAATACTCTATATAATTTTTTACCGGCTCCTAAAATAGCACAAAGTGTTGTGGAGATGAGGGCATCTTTTACAGAAGACCATTTCCGACTGGTTTCTTTCTTTTAAAAGACCGAAAAGATGGAGGTGTATTGTCTGAGGCTTGGTAAGACCTCAGAACTTGCTCAGCTCACCAGAAGTTGGACCCAGTTACGTAAATAAGGGTGAGGCACATGCAGAGTAGTGGGAGGGGCCTACCAAGTCTTAGTGCTTCACAGAAAGCCAGTGCCTCAGTCTGAGTGACTTCCACAGGCAGCTGACGGCGAGGGCCTTGCACTGTCCTGTTTCCCTGGCCTCCGGGGATGTGTACTGCCCGTCCATGGAGGGAGCAGCCGGAGCAGAAATCCCCACTTGGATTCCACGTTTTGGCTTTTGCCGAGAGTGGACCCCGGGGCCCGGTGCCTCCTGGTCCCGTCTGTAGTGACGGGGTCCTAGGAGAAGGCTGCCCGCACCTGGGGAGAAGCCACAGGCTCCCAGTGCGGCAGGAAGGGGCGTTCTCTGGAGTGCGGCGGCCTTGGCCCCCCCAAAACTGGGTGTGTTTGTTTTCCATGACCGATAGGCTTACCACAGTACATTTTTTGTTGATATCAAAAGGAGGCGCCAGAGCGATCTCAAGGCAGCTGCCTGCATTTGCTTTGGTCGGGAGGGGTAGATGTATTTTTAGAGTTAGAATCAACAGTGTCTTCACAGGAAGGCGGCACGCAAGAGGGGAACGTCTGAGAATGCATGGCCACGGGGACCGGAGTGTCCAGCAGAGGATGGTGGGTCTGTGGCTGACAGCCTGCAGGTGGCGTCTGTAAGACCACCAGTCGGCACCTGCGTTGTTGAAAGTTCAGCAAGGCTACTCCGAAGGCCCTTTTTAGCAATTTGTGGTTTTGGCATTTTAATTTGACATGCCTATTCTTACATAGGAGGACTTTAGAATTAATTAGGTAGAAGACTATTTAAAATATTTTAGCTAAGTTACCCTTGAACTTAAATATGTGCTAGTAATTCAGTCGATTAAGGATCAAGATTCTGTTGATGAAAACCCTGACTTCAGAGTGTAGAATGTCGAGACTAGTGACAGCACAGAACTTAGGAGCCTGATTTAGAACAGGATATATTTTTAAAAATATTTTTTTATTGATTTCAGAGAGGGAGAGGGAGAGAGATACATCAATGATGAGAGAGAATCATAGATTGGCTGCCTCCTGCACGCCCCCCCCCCACCCCCCCACTGAGGACTGAGCCCGCAACCCAGGCATGTGACCTTGGCCGGAATCGAACCTGGGACCCTTCAGTCCATGGGCCGACGCTCTTGCCACTGAGCCAAACCAGCCAGGGCAAGAACAGGATATTTTTAAAGAAAGAACTTGATACAGTGGCCCAGGATTCTTGCAGAAAGTTTACCTCGCTCCCACTCTCTACCATATCTTTCAGGCGACACTGTCAGTGACCGGGAATCAGAATTACCTGGCCTGCTCCTAAGCCATCTAGATGCCTCGGTGGTCATTTTTGATGTCTGAGCAGTGTGCCGGGTCTAGTTGAGAAAATAAAGCATGAACAAGTGAAAATCAAGTAACAGTACAAAGTAGCAACATAAAGGGTTTCCCACATAAATGACCAGCTGCCAGATGAATGACAGGGTGTCCCTTTTCCACTGTGCTGCTTGCAAGTGGTGGGTGCTCATTGAACTGTCCACGCAGCCAGCTAGTCCAGCTTTCTGGGCCCTGGCCCACGACCAGTGTCTGGCAAAAACCCTTTCCCCGCTGTCTTCACATATAAAAGCATGTTGCCGCAGACCTGGAAGAAGTACTCTTTGTCTGGGGTAGAGTCCTAAGGCGGGGCGTGCAGGGAAAGAAAAGGCACTGAGAATATAAATAGAACACTTTCCCCTGACTTACCGTCTTCAAGCACAGGGTTATGTCGCCTGTGGCTGCCAAAGCTTCATTCCTTCGTGAGTTAATAACAAAAATTCCCGCTTGCTTTTCTTTCAAGGGAAGGTTTGCATCTAAACCGAGGTAAGTGGGGAGCTCCAGATGGGCTCTACCCCCTGGAAACGCGGAATGCTGCGTTTTCTCTGGGAATGCCGATTTTGTGAGTTGTTTTAAAATAACATGTTCAGAGTTCTCTGCTGGGTGAACCGTGTGATGCTTAGGGAGGACATTGTAAAATTAGAGTAATTATGTATGCAAATGAGACCTACTTTTGAAAGTCCTCCAGACGTAGCGATGGGAGCTGGGCATGGGGGCGGAGGCTTTTAACAGAGAGTGCGGGAAAGCCGAGGTAAGTGGGTTCCTGGCTCCCTTCTCTTCTCGGGACGCCCTAGCCCAGCACCCAGAGCGCAGCCCAGGTAGCACGTGTAGGTGCCTGTCCACTTCCCAGAGGTGCCCCTGCTCAGCCCTGTGAGGTCTGCACTCTCGTAGCTCCTCTGCCCAGCACCCAGCTCAGTCGTGCCGCCCAGTCCACCACGGTGCGCGTAGACTGCATCTGCCTCACAGTGTTTATGGTCTTCTCTCCTGCCCATGCTCTTAGACCTAACGCTTGTCTCTAACCCTCTGTGTGATGTGCCATTTCTGCTCTATGGCCATAAAAGCACACTCTGTCCAATGACATGTGACTTTGCGTGAAAACAAGGCCCGTGACTGCTTCCTGAGGGTCTGGGAGAGAGAGGTGCAGGTTGCTGGCTCGGAGCACCCATCTCCCTGTTGTATTAGTAACTCACTTTGTCAGCTGGGACTTTCAGTGCAGTTGCTGCTAAGCTCAGAGCCCCTCAGGAAGCTCCTGCAGAGACGGCGAATGCGGTCGCCAGGCCTCACTGGGCCTGCAGCGAGGGCCTGCTGGCTGCCCCTCCATCCCGAGCCTGCTCCTGTCCTCACTGCGCTCCGTCTCCCTCCCGCTGGTCTCCCGCTCCTGCAGCCTCAGAACGATCTGACTCCTCCTTTCTCATCCTCTTGTTGACGGGCTGTCTCCCCACTGGGATCCAGGCTTAATGAGGACGGGTTTGCGTCCCTCTTGCTCATGCAGCCTCCCGAGGGCTGGGCACGGAGGCTCGGTCAGTGGCTGCTGAGTGAGGGCGATGCTGAGCTCACCGTGAGAAAGGGACTGACGGACGGGGGAGGACAGCCTGTGTCTGACGTTGTGCTGACACTCGCAGCTATGATGGGACGACCTTGGACGCGCAGCCACACCCACCGCCTGGTGGGGGAGCGGTGGGGAGCGGTCTCCCCAGCAGCGTGTGGCAGGTCAGACAGAGCGTGTGCAGAGGCCCCAGGGGGTGCTGAGGGGGAGGGGAGCCAGCTTGTGGAGAGTCAGCTGGGAGCCACAGAGGATTGTATCCCTAGAGCAGACCTTCGGAGGAGAATTCTAGGTGCTGTGGGTTGTTTTCAGGACGTAGGGAAGCCCCAGCGATGCCATCAGGTGAGTGGCTTGCAGATGTGGCTGTGGGCGTGCAGAGAAATGGACAGAAATGGGAAGCGTCTCGGGCGGTCGCAGGGCGCAGCTCTCGGTAGGTTTTGCCAGAAGTGCTTTCAGGGAGCTGCTGAGCAGGTGAGGCTGCAGGTGCACTCGGAGCTGCTGTGGTCGGTGGGACTCAGGCTGTGCTGAGGCCTGAGGACAGGGGATGTTACACACGTTCCAGGAAGTGGGCTGTTCTCGTTGTTAGTCAACACTAAGGCGAACAATAACCTCCGCCTTCTTAGTTGTGCGTTTTAGTAAGACAGGAAGCATTCTGCAGAAAGCTGTCATTGTATGCTAAGCAAGAAGCTGACACATTCCTACCAGTTAATAGCATTTGCATCAACCCACCCCAAACTAACAACTAACACTGGCCTTGCTGGCTCGCTGTCAGCAGGGTATCGTGCTGGCTTCATGCTTTTCCTTCGACGATAGTCACTCTTCTTGCGTTGTCTTCAGTTTCTTCCTTCTTGCTCACCTCCCACCATCCAGCCCGGGGCTTTGTCAGCACAGGGCATCCTACCAGCAGCAGCTAAGAACGATGAGCAGCACATTTCACGTATGGCTCCCCCGGAGGCCAAGCGCGCAGTAGGGCGAGCGATTCCTGCCCGGCTGTAGCTGCGTCTCCGTTTTGCAGACGCGCATACTGAGGCTTTCTCTTTTTTAGGAGTGGGTGTGTCGCTGCCTTTTGGGAGAAGGCGTCTCTAGTTTTCAAGGGTCATTTATTTGAATAAAATTACTTCCCTGTTAAAATTCAACTCAGCAAGCACTTGCTGCATACCATCTGCTCACTAAAGCTTAAACAGTGTCTTGGGGGCACAGCGGTGAGTGAGACCCCGGCCCTAAGGGGCTCTTTCACATTCCAGGTCAACAGGAAACCGTGGAGATAAGTCCCTGTGGTCACTGCCCCAAGATGCTCCCATAGCCAAGGCCTGAATGTGCATTTCATTTACCTACGTGTGTTAACATGGAATTCTAAATGTAGAATCTTTCCTAGGTGTGCCTTGCCATAGCTCATTATTCCCAGCCAACAGACCTCCAGCTACTCTTTGCATTTGAATATGTTGGGAAAAAATACCACAATTCAGGTAAATATGCAAATATTACATATTGTGACTGTCACTTTGCATTGTGTCGATTTTATCCTATGTTCCTCGGGAGCCTCCTGCGACAAGGCCTTGGTGACGGTGGGATTGTCAGCTTCTCGCCTGGAGAGGAAGCCCTGTGGGCAGAGACGGGTGGGTCAGGCGGTTCCTTACACAGCGGCCGGAAGAGCCGGTGAGCAGCTGGAACAGGAAGCGGGTCCCTGTTTACCACGGAGATGGACGCACCCTCCCTCTTTCAGTTGTAGCTTAAGTTCATCTTACTTTTTAAGAAACCTGGCAGGAAACGCATAATCCTTTCTGGGGAGGTGTGACTTCAGGAACTGAAGCGGTGGCACTTTTTAGTGGACTTCACAACAGGATGAGATGGACGGCAGGAACAGGCAGGGTTGTTTTTTGTTATTGTTTTTTATTGATTCCAGAGAGGAAGGGAGAGGGAGAGAGAGAGAAACATCAGTGATGAGAGAGACACAACGATGGGTGGCCTTCTGCATGCACCCAACCAGGGCCAGGGGTCAAGCCTGCAACTGCGGCACTCGCCCTTGACCGGAATCGAACCCGGGACCCTTCAGTCCGCAGGCCGACGCTCTATCCACTGAGCCAAACGGGCTAGGGCGAGGCAGTTTTTATAAATGTAAACTAGTTCTGGCCCTAGCCGGCTTGGCTCAGTGGATAGAGTGTAGGCCTGTGGACTGAAGGGTCCCGGGTTTGATGCTGGTCAGGGGCATATGCCTGGGTTGTGGGCTCGATCCCCAGTGGTGGGTGTGCGGGAGGCAGCCGATCAATGATCCTCTCTTATCATTGATGTTTCTATCTCTCTCTCCCTTCCTCTCTGAAATCAATAAAAATATTTTTAAAAATAAATAAATAAAATAAAATAAAATAGTTCTGTCCACATATCTGTGTCAGCAATGACATCGCCAAGGAGGAGTCCAGATGGCCATGTAATTCTGTACATTAGCTCTATGTACTAATATAACTTTAATCAACCATTTTTTTAAAGCCTCATAAAAGCATGGAGAGAAAATGAAGAGGGCATGTCTTACATTAGCCCCTTGTGGGTTAGTGACTGCACGACCGCTAGCTCACTGAGTCACGTGGTCTCCCTCTTCACGGAAGAAAAGTAAATCAGTTACATATTTATAATGAAAGGTCCGTTCACCCCAGCATGGTCTGGGGGGGGAATCTTATAAATTGTTAATTGTACTGGTCTTGACATCTTGTTGCCTCAAAACACATGGAAGTAATTTAGTAACCTGTAGGGTGAATGTACTGCAGTGTCACTATATTAAGTGCAGTAAGGTGTAGGAACAGTACCTGCGGCTGCATGAGGCACAGCAGTCTCACTGCTTTAGAAGACACGTGGGAAGTGTCTCCCATAGAGGACAGTGACCGCCACGCTGTCAGAACGGAGCCTTTTTCTCGGGCACAGTATTTATAGGGTGTGTGTGACTTAATTTTTCTTATCAAAATATAACTAATTGTAATCTAGACCTGAACAACGCAGTTGATTTGTTAGGTTCATTTCTTTTTTTTTTTTTTTAAATATATTTTATTGATCTTTACAGATCTCCCACTGATGCGCCCGCAACCCAGGTACATGCCCTTGACCGGAATCGAACCTGGGACCCTTCAGTCTGCAGGCCGATGCTCTATCCACCAAGCCAAACCGGTTAGGGCATGTTAGGTTCATTTCTTAACGTAAAGAAACTCCCTAGCCGAAACCGGTTTGGCTCAGTGGATAGAGCGTCGGCCTGAGGACTGAGAGGTCCCGGGTTCGATTCCGGTCAAGGGCATGTACCTGGGTTGCGGGCGCATCCCCAGTGGGAGATGTGCAGGAGGCAGCGGATCGATGTTTCTCTCTCGTCGATGTTTCTAACTCTCTCTCTCTCTCTCCCTTCCTCTCTGTAGAAAAATCAATAAAATACATTAAAAAAGAAAAAAAAAAGAAAAAGAAACTCCCTTATTGTGGAAAGGCAGTGTGGGTCAGGAGGGTCTCCCTTTGGATCAGCCCCGAGCTGTCATGTGATCATCAGGGTCACGGTCAGGGTCACGGTCCAGGACAGCAGCTGGAAGGGCTGTTTCAGGGGTGCGGGAGCTGTAGGACAGCCTCCGGTTCCCGCTTACACTCCTTTATGATCCAGGCCAATTCTTGCTGGTGCTTCTTTTCTGGTAGAAACGCGGAGCCCGGGTACAGACCCTCAGCCTCTGCGCAGTGCAGTGCCGCGCGCCCCGCAGCACAGGAGCTTCACTCTGCTTGGCTGGCCTGCTACTGCTCCGCTCACTGTCCAGTCTTCTTCCTCCAGCCCTGGGGGTCTCTGGGTTAACAAGACCTCAAGTAGTCTGTGCAGCCCAGAGCGCTTCCCCTGAATTGCCTTGTGCGCATCACTCAGTTCTCTGTATCTTCTTATGTATAGCTTGTCGATAACATTGATACACGATACGTAAAGCGTTCAGGAGCGTTTTATTTACATCCGCCAGGCTCCTCCTCCTCTGACAAGTACTTCGTAAGCATGGCGGTTGGCCAGGGCGTTGTGAAGGTTCCTCAGAGCCTTTGACACCTTCCTCGGCTGCTCTGAGATCGGAGGGAGCCCGAGACGCCCACACTCTGCAGTCAGAGGGCATGGCTGAGAGGGAGAGATGCCCAGTAGCACCCTGAGCCTCTGGGTGGATCTTGGCTCCTGGGCTGGTTAAAGCAGTCCTTTCTGCAGGCAGGTCGGCGACAGAGCTGTGTCCACGGTGAGGCCTGAAGGTGGAGGGCGTCCCTGCTGTTCTCTGAGAGGAGCCTCAGCGGCCCTGGGCTCCCACTCGGAGCTGTTCTCCGAGCTTCAGCACCGCTTGAGCACAGAGCATCCCCCAGACGCTCCGCAGTCCCCCGGCCCTTCTGGGCGGTCCTGGAGCTCAGCGAGCTGCACGCACCCCCCGCGCACGGCTCGTCACCGAGGCCCGGCCGGGAACAATGGTGCCTTTGAATGGAAAGGAGCCACGAGGATGTTTTCAACCATCAGCTGATCAGTGGGCAGATGGTGTCCAGAAACACAGACTCGTCCTTGTTGTGAAGTGATAAGAGGTCAGGTGATGCTCAAGGATTGCAAGCCCCGTGCGTGACCTTCGGCCCCAGCTGGCAGCTCTGGTCAGCGACGCACTCGAAACACTGGCCTCCCAGCAGGACGTGCTCGTCTTCAGGGAGGTCCGTCTTCTTCCTGGTAACACGGCTCAGGCCACACTCCCTCAGCTGCCTGTGGGAAGCCACGTAGAGGGCACAGTTCACGGGAAACGGTGCAGGGACTCGAGGTTGGTTGCTTGTCGGTTCTTCTCCGATCCCCAGTGCAACTGTCGATGTTGCGCTCGGTCCTCCTTCTCCTGCACAGTGGAGGCTCCTGACCCACCACGTGCGTGCGAGTCCCTGGCTCGGGCCCAGGCCCGGGTTCGAGCCCCGCGCCGACTCGCCTCCTCGCGCATCCGAATGGTCACAGCTCTGCTTTCGCCTTCTTCGCGCATCTGGTTCCCGCAGTGCCATCAGAGCCGGGCTTTCTTTCCCTCCGGAGGGCTCTCCCCTCTCAGGCGGTAGCGAGTGCTCAGCCTGCTGCACTCACGTCTGAGATTTCAAAACACTGACGGGTTGGGTTTGAGACTCAGCTGGGGGTGAGCCGCCAGGCTGCCGACAGCTCTCAGAGTGTGAGTGCGCTGCCCGCTTCTGGTTGGCTGGCGACGGTCTCGTGTGGCGAGGACGCGGGGCAGCATTGAATGGTGGTGGTGACAGGACGTCGTCTGTGCCTGGTTCTAGTTCGGTGATGCTTGCTGGGGGTTTCTGGTAAATTCCCTCTCAAGTTAAGGAAATTCCCTTGTGTTCTGATTCGCTCACGTTTGAGGTTTTCAGTCACAGGCAGGTGTTAGACTCTGTCAGATGCTCCCTGCGCTCACAAGCCCATCACGCGGTTTCCCCCCTTCACCTGGTCACGTGGACGTGCAGTACGGAGTCTCTTCCTGTGGGTGTGGTTCTCGGACCGCTGTGTCCTCAGGGGCACCGCCTGGACGCGTGCTGGAGGGTCTCCAGCCTGCACGCTGCGGGCCAGCGCTTCCGTTCCTCAGAGGCAGGACCAGTGGGCACTTACAGCGGGGGTGGGAGGTGGGGGGTGGGGAACCTTTCTCCTGCCAGGGGCCCCTTGGATGCTTATGACATCATTCAGGGGCATACAGAGCTATCAGCTGAAAAATGAGCCCGCTCCGTTTGGTCAGTTAACTCACCCTGGTGCCTTGGCAGGGCCAGACCAAGCGATATCCTGGGCCTTCTGCGGCCCGAGGGCTGGACGTTCCCCACCCCTAATTTACGGGATAGAATTCCAGATTCCTCGCCGGCACGAAGACCCTTCATAATCCAGAGTCGCCTGTCAGTGAATACAGTGCTGGAGTGGGCGTGGCCTCCTCGTGGACGAGGGAGGAGAATGGGGTCAGGGGGCAGTGGGAAGGCCAGGCCAGGCCAGCTGTTGACAAGGGCAG